CTCACATTCTGAAGAACACTCATTTGTTGAACATGGTAGCCACAGTTATTAGTGGTATTTCTGTTTTTGAAGTGAAATACCAGTGACGAATACTATTCCAATACAAAAAAGTAAATGTGCTAGGAAATCGCATATTTTTTATAGCCGTTGTAACTACTTTATTTTTTTCTAGTCATATCGATATTGTAAGAACAATCAGAAAATCAAAATTAAAATATCTTTTATGAATATGTAATATGTATCTTTTATTATACTGTGAATTATGAAACAAAATAAAATATATACGAAAGACATGTTTTTAAAAAATAAATATGGTTTTAATTTATTTTCTTTGTTTAATATATTTGTACTTTTATTTCATAAATACTCAGCTGATAACATGGTAACACGGTGTTACATTTATAGTTTAAATAATGTTGATTTGAAAAGTATAAATAATTTTCTAATTAAAAAATGGTTCATGTTGTTCAATAGTAAGAGGTAATTTTGTTAGTTATACTCTTTAGTTGTATTCACGTTTCAGACGAATGCATTTAAATTTATAATTTACATTATTTATACATGTTTTTATTTTTTCAATACCTCGAAATATAATTTTACACACTGAAATTACATAGCTTAGTTTTTTTAAATAATTGTCTACAAAACAGATCCAAGCAAATCGACAATTTAGACTTATTTTATATTCTGAGCTGAGCTAGAATAGATCATGGACACATTTATGGCAATAAAAGTTGTATTAATATCAGTTTTTTAATTTTATTTTTTTTCTAGTAAACTTGCTCCAAATTTCAAGAGCAGCATTTTTTCGGGTTCAGAAAAACCCAGGGAAAACGTAGGAAAAGCGGACAATGTACGATATTATTTTATTATATTTTTTATTATATTTTATTTTATTTTAAATTTTATTTAGAATTCAAATTAAGAAAATCGTAGAGACCTGACATTGTCGCAAAATACCTATATTTACTTATATTAGGCTTTTTTGATAAATTTGAGCTATTTATTTTAGAGTATTTGATACTTTGATACGAGGTTTTATTTTAGTTTTATATATGCAAGTAAATTTATTTGATTTATAATTATTTATAAGTTGTGCTTAGTGTTATGGACAAAAAAAAGTGGAGCTTAATGTAATAGTTTTTTTTTTCTAAGCGTTTTAAGTTTTATTTTTTAGTTCAAATCAATACAGTTTTCAATTTAAGTTTCTCGAAACACGGTTAACCGCACTTCGCTCGCAGTCGTTTTTCCTTGGCGTCGATTCATCGTTACGTACAGACGTAAATTGAATCGCCCTGAACGCTGTGGTTTCCCAACTTCCCACCCACAGCGGTGGCACACGCCAATGGTGTGAGGTATGTCCGGTTTTCGTTTTTGCCATTTCGCCATATACGGCCCATCACCGCCGCTTTTCTGTCTTCACAGACAATCCGATAAAATGCCCGCGGCGATCGGCGACCGTTCGCGGTTGTGACATCGCGACGGTCTCGTCGACACGTTACGGCCGACACGTCCAAACATCAACCGACCGCCGTCGCCCATTCGGATGTACATAACATTGTACACTCGTAAATGTACAGAAACCGCGTCCGTGGTTTTAGCCCGCGTGCGTGTTTGGCGAACGAATCAGCGCCGTCGTTTTCGGTGCAAACAATCCGTTTATAATATTATAGTAATAATAATAATAATAATAATACGTAATAATCCGGCCGCGGTCATTTTCGCCCGAAGTCGTCGCGTTTCTCCGACCTCAGCGCCGGGCCGCCGGTCTTCTCCGGGCTTCTCGGCGGCGGGCGGCGGTGAACGGCGGGCCGTACGCAATACGCATGTAATATATTGTGTATACATAAATATTTATACTAAATCCAATATCTATACATAGTCGTATGTACGTAGAACGTAATAATATATCTATACGAATGGGTATGTGCGCGCGCGCGCGTGCGTGTGTGTGTATGTGTGTGTGTGTGTGGTATCTGAGAGGGGCTGACACACTGCGGTATAACGAGCGGGCAAATATTGGGCAAAGTCTCCTACTCGGTCGTCGGTGGTTGTTTGCGGAACCGGAAATTTCCGAGATTTCTGTTTCTTATCGCGACATTACCCGCTGCTGCCGCGGTTCCAACAGCAGCAGCTCGTACACACTATTATAACATAACGTATTATTATTAATATATATATACACACACACACACGCACGGATCTGTGTGTGTGTGTGCGCGCGCGTGTGCAGGGGTCGGGGCATTTTCTTTATTGTTTGTCAACGACCCCGTTTCCACCGCGCCGTAGTAACCGAACCCCCTTCTTAACGGGCCGTTAGATTATTTATAATAATAATATATTCTCGTGCGCGCGCGCGCGTGTACATTCGCCGCAGTCGGTTCGCGGAATGTGCCAAGTCGGTTTCGCGATAAATTTCAATTGCGCCGGACCGTTTTCGTATTAATTGTCACGTTAAAATGCTGTTTTGGCCGGTACCAAGTATCGCTCACCTGGCACCCGCCGCGACTATCCAGCCGGCCGTTACCGCGAAACCCGAACCCATCAGAAAACTGTATACACATTATTGTACAATATTCGGGCAGTATCCGTATATAAGCAGAATCCAGTTGTCAGAAAAACGATTTGGGATTTACGTAGCGGGCTGCAGTAACACCGACCAAATAAAAATAAAACACTTGAGCTCCGTTACTATGGAGTCGAATTCCCCCCCGGTTGATTTGTAAACCGTTATAAAATTAAATGGCTTTTTTTTTTATATACATATAAAGATAAGGGATTGAACAGAAAAATGTTTTTTCAAAATATGTAGAGTAGTTCTCGATATTCGTATTACCGTACTAACAAATAGTGGGATCGAGGGGTTGGTAGGTTCAAACCTTCTAAAAGCCCATCTTCAACAACATTCCATAGAAACTTCCTCCGGTTCCTTTCAGGATTCTATATATAAGTCTCACATGATCTAATTCATGGAGACTGTCTCGGTATTCCTCTTCGTGGCTTCTCTTCGATTTTCCCTTCAGTTATAGATGTTACCCATGCGCTATTCCTTACTAAATGTCGTGTCCTATCCATTTCTTTCTTCTCTCCCCGATTGCTGTCCATATTGTCTTCCTCTCATGTGTTTGATGATATGTATCGACATTCGTTCTGTCCCGAAGATTTATATTGCCCTTTTCTAACACCAAGTTTTAAATGCTTTTATTCTTCTTCTGACTTGTGTATTTATGATTAAGAACATAATTTTAAATGTGGTTTGAATTTACAGCGTTTACATGGTGTGAGCCAATTTGTTTGAGAATGGTTAGTCACATCACATGGAAACACACAATTTTTAGTTTAATATTTTGGCAACACCACTGTAACGAAATTGTTATCTTTATTATTTTTCTAACAATTTGATACTCCCGTCACTACGATTATGGTTTCCTACTTAACGCGATAACTTTTCAAAACTGTTCACAGTGTCACAGTCACCTCCGAAGCCTACATAAAATAAAATTATGATTTTACATTGTGCTATTATACGTATAGAATTCCGTTCTCTAGTTCGGCCTACGGGAATATTCACGTAAAATAATTAAACATTTTTTTTTTTTAATTCTGCGAAGAAAACGTCAAGAATACCTAAACCCCGTAATTCAAACGTGAGTATTGTGACGACTACCAACTCGCCTTTCATGCCCTTGCAGTACAATACTGTCGATGTCTTTTCACACAAAGTTTTAGTACCGAAAACTGACACAAACTTTTTATGAATTACGTAATTCACGAGTTACGGTCTAAACAAAAAAGGGTGTATTTTACGAAACGATTCTTCAAGTGGAATGACGGATATTATTCTGACACGAAACAGCCGTGCTCGTTATTAAAATACGTATACAATAATAACATGAACAAGTTTAAATTACATTAAACATTACAATATTATGTAATTTTGTAGTAATTCGATATTTTAATTTATTGTGCAATAGATTTCTTTTAACAAACCCTGGCCCACGCGATGGTGACATTATATAGTTACTATCGTGATAGACGGTATTCCAGTTACAGACACAGCATCCATTCGATGATATCATACTCGTAATGTAGGTAGAGCGTTGAGTAATAATAGATGATATGATAGCAAATATTGAATTTCGTCGATGGACATACTATCTAATGTAAAAATACGACACGGTAGTATATAAATGAACATATAGGGTGATATTTTTTTTCATCAACTAACAAATATCTCAGAGGATTTTAAGTAAATTTTATTTCTGTTTTTTTTTTTTTTTAATCTTTATAGAATCTTTTAAACTTTGTTTTAAAACCATAATTAATTTTTTACCCTTCCTCCATGTACCTTAAATATGTGTATACTTTTGATTTTCAAAAGGGGAATTCTTATTTGAATCACCCTGTATAGTATGTGTTCACACGGTGACAGTTACTTCCACTTTCACTACAGTGTGATCATTCAGAAGGGCCAGACCAAGTACGAAGCCTAGAAGCCCGCGGGTTTTAGGCCCTAAAATATCGGAGATCCCGAATGGTCATTTTTTCACAAAATAAATTCAAAATATTTTAATAGTTTAATGTTTATTAAAAATGTGAAAATTCAAATTTTAATTTAATAATATGTTTTATTTTTATTTGACTCGATGACAATATATTTATAATAATATTATAAATAATATATTATATTATTTGCATCTTTAATTTCGCGACATCGGCTTGCTAATCAATTAGTTATTGTAATTTGAAAAAGTATAGGTACCTACCAGTGATAGGTACAATAAGTATTCTATATTTATAATATGTTATTTTTTATTGTAATTATTAATATGTTTTGCTCTAAGTGTAACAATGTAAAGTTTATTCCTTTTTGTAAACTTAAGCTTATTATTTGATTTTATAATTGTATACTACATGATACCAACAACTATGTATTTGCAGTACTCATAATTATTATAATGGAATTTATTCGCATATAATATAATAGATAAATAAATAGTTATTATTAATTACTAGTAGTTATACTATAAGCACATATATACCTACTTGCACTGATAACCGTCTTAAATTATTGTGGCGTTCCGAAAAAAGAAGAAAAAATCAATATAAAGTACAAAAAATGTCCCATTTATCAACACGCCCGAACAGAATTAAAAATGGACCGCATCTCAATCAAAGAAACATTCGAACCCGGACAAGAATTTCGAATCATAGATCTCACAACGTATATTATAAAAATGTTGTATACAGTAAAATTTCCGTTACCGGTCGACTCTAAAAGACGGTCAACTCTGTGTAACGGTC